GGGTAGGTAAAGGAGAAGGCGATGGAAAGGGTAGAGGGGAGGGGAAACGGGGGTGAGCGATATTAATATTTCAGAAAAGGAGAAGTCGTGTCTGTGCGTGCCGGATCGGCGAGCGAGCGAGCACGATGAACGGGCGAACCCGTTCATTTTTATGTAAATGAGATTTAAATCGAGTTACTCTTAATCTCAATCGCAGTTTGTGTCAATTGCTCGTTTATCATTGCCGCCGGAAATTATCGACAAATTTCAGTGCCACTCCACGTGTTATATCAGCGCCGCTGCTAATGACAATTCATTGATCAAATTCCCGGCTACGGGTTCGGTGGACTCGCTCCGGGAAATATTTTCCCAACTCATTTGTCGTCCCCGCCGAGAGTTCCCTTCCGGCCGAATTTTCTTTCCGACACCTTTTAAGAGAGAAAAGAAATAGGTAGAGAAATAATAATAGAGTGAANGGGGGGGGGGGGGTGAAGGAAGGTAAAGAAGACACGTTTATCATTGGCATCGAGCTTGGTCGCTCGCTACGCTTTTTCGCGAGTCGGTCGTCACGCATATCCAAACCTCGAGAAAAGGGAGGCCGTGGGCGCGCGCGCTATTTTCCTCACGCTCGAGCGTGCCGAAATAAGGGTCGACCGGGAAAAGGTAGAGCTGGCCATGAAGAAACGTCGGATTCCTGAGGCGTGGCGTCTCGGAAATGGATTCAACTAAATTCTCACACTCGCCTTAGCCGGGCTGAGCCGAACCGAGCCGAGCGGAGGCGTTACGCTCTTATGCGGCCGAGAAGCCGGAAAAGAGGGTGGAAATATGTATCCGTGTGTGTGTACATGTATGCGCGCGCCGAATAGAGAGCCGAGACAAATTCCCGAAAGCAAATGTGTTTATCCATGAAACCTTTTGCAAACGGAACTCAACGAGTCGGAAATTTTGACGACGTCGATTCGGCGAAACGATTTCCACTTTCGCGCCGGCTTGGATGCGCAATAATCGCAGCCCGTGACGACGATGACGACGGTGGCGATGGCAAGAAAAGGAAGAGCGATCTGCTCCTCTTTTCCCTCCCTCCCCACCTCCCGTATTCTAGGAAACGATTTCACGCCGGAGGCGTGAGTTAGTTGGCAAGAAACGAGCGGATATAAGTAACGGTGCGATCGGTTATCGATGATCGTGTAAGTGTCGATAGCGAGATTGCGCCGCCGGTTAGGGGCGACAAGAACGAACGTTGTCCTCGTTAAAAACTGGCGGAGACAAACGCCGATACTTGGCAGGGCTCGTATATGTATGTGTGTGTGTGTATGTGTGCGAGGTGCTTCGGTCACGAGGACGGAAGAGGAAATGAGTATTGGTCTCATTATTCAGATACGTTAACGCGCTGCTGGTCGCCACGCTTGACCGCTTGGAAATGTCAACTCCATAAACTAGAACTATCAATCGTGTCATAGTATAGCCGGTTATGGGGTCGGTATAATCGCAGTATCAAGCGTGATCGAAAAAATCGCAGTAACGAGCGCAATCTCAAATAAAGGGAATTAAGGAGATGCCGAAATCAATTATGAACTTAATAAACATCGATAACGTAGAAACTATATATTATAAATCATGTTTATAAATATTTAGCACAGGTTTTTCAAATTTCTTCATTGTATCAACTGTTATTATCTGTTTCAACAATTTTATTACAGACCAACTATTTTAAATGTAAAAGCTCCTAATCTCTTACACAAAGGTTAAATAGTTGACGATCGCGTATCGATAACGATAGTTTTATTGTTTGTAGCTGAACTAGGTTGCACTTTTATAGTGCAACAAATATGTAACTGAGCGTTGCGCCGGGAAAAGAAACGAAATTCTAGTGTTGTCCTATTTCAGTTCAGAGAAGAAATTAAAAAGAACAGGCTTAATGTCATAATGCTTATTGGGGAAAGAAGAAACGGGCGTAAGAAGTATCGGAGATCGACGGGCATTCAATCAGTTGACACTTGTCAAACGCTCAACGGTCAAGGACGAACACGCCGCTTTAGATTCCATGGATTAACGTTATCGCGCATCACGGCGTTGTCACCGTCAGCATAACGTCTCGACCGTGTAACGTAACGACGCCTCGTAGAGGCAGGTATCAAGCCAGCCGCACTTTCTGCCTGACGCGCTCGTAAAAAACTTATCTTTACGCATCCAGGCGGCAATTTGTCCGGCTTGCTCGCCGGGTCGAATCGCGCCGAAATTTTACGCCGTCCGCAACCCCGTAAATTGCGTTTCGCGCTCCTGACCTGACACCGGCTCGGATGCTCTTACGCGTTCATGTTTACGCGTCCCGGGCCTAAGTGGCACGAGGAAAGGAGAGAGAGAGAGAGAGAAGAGGAAGAGCGTGGCTTGCGAAAGGAAACTCATGAGAAGACTCGCGTGAGGCTTACGCGAGGCCCTTAGAGACGCGGATCGAAAGAGAGAAGACGGCAGAGCATGCATCAGGCCGGAAGAGCACCGCGGAGGCGCTGTTAACATAAACCCCGTCATTGCTCCCCAGACATAATACCCTTATACCGCACGCCCGCGCGTAATGTCGCGCCGAGTCTCGTCTCGCCTTACCTTCGTATCTCGCGCGCTTTCGGAGCGAGCGAGCCACGAGGAGAGGCGAGGAGAGAAGAAGAGCATCAAGGTCGTTCTACGAGGTGGAACTGAAGAAAACGACGCGGGGGCGGCCTTTCGATAAGAGAGTGAGGGAGGCTTCAGCCTATCGCGACTTTATTAGACGTACACAGTAAACAATTTTGTGTCACAAACGGTTCATCTAAATTTCTGTCACTTTAACAAGGTGAATATGTTGATTCAATATATATTTTTCGATCGACGATTCCTTCCGTAGTTCCTTGGTTACCCAATGCATTTTATCGGAATTATCGTCGGCGAACGAGACGGCATTCCCTCGTATTCGCATTCCTTCCTCCATTAAATTAAACGCTTATTCGCGAGTAATACGAGGAATGTACGAGGGGCTCATCAGTCACTCACTCACGTTGCGATACATCGCATCGCGACGCCGTCTTTGCAACACGTTCTACGGGAGATTCCCGGTCGAACGGCGGCCCGTCGTCCATACTGAAAAGGTCTTCCAGCGGCTTTCACGTCGTGCCTCGACGATAATACAAAGAAATCCGCATCAGGGTAATGTCGCGTGAAGTTAACGCGCCGGCGTAACCATCCCCGCCCGCCTGTCGGGGGTCGAATCGTGGCCGGTATTTCGATGAAGGCTGCAAGGCGGACGACGAAAGAAGCAGGGTGAGAAATCCCATTAAGGGAGACCTTGAAAGAGCCCGATGACATCGCTCTATCTATCTCGTCCGGTGCAAACGGCCGGGGACGATACAAGGATCTTTCTTGTGATCGCACGGTGAAAATTACGAAGCGGCGACTCAACGTCGTCAATAAACGTTGATTCGACGGGCATCCGAATGAAGAAGAAATAACGATTACGCCGTCAAGTTCGGGGAACGATGCGACGGCTAAGCGTGCGGGAATAATTTATAACAAACAAACACGCACGGAAGTATCCTTCGCCGATTTTCGTGGACCTGTCGAGATGCTGTTGAGCAGGTAAAATTAAGGAATGCGTATTCTTTATTTGTGCTTTCTCACACGTTTCAATATAATCTAATAATTAACTGTTAACAAATATTTAGGTACATACAATAACTATTATTTTACTATTATTATCGCCTTGAATATCTTCGAAGAATAAAAATAACCCCGAAACATTTGCACATTCGTCTCTTCATCGGAGAACTCCATCGGCGAAGTATGACGGCGCATATAATGCGTCGACGCGCCCGCTGGCGTTCCTTCTTAACTTGGGGCCGAGGTTCAAGAGGAGAATCTCCAAGTTTGTGTCTTGTTTCTCGCCGTCGTATTTCACCTCTAATGCGCCAAGCAATCATCGTGCTTTCGCACGACGAAATAATACGTACGTGTCTTCGGTAATTGTACGCGTTAACACCAATCGCGAAAGGGATGACGTTTGCTGCGACGCGAGAAGACGTCTCTCGTAGCGAGCAACACGACGAGATACTTTTCGAGATCGATTAGCGTTAGGCTCAAACTAGCTGGTACACTACTGACGTGGGAGAAAGAGGAGGGTTGCGGAAGGGGTCGGGTTGCGGAAGGCTCGAGTTTAGTCGCTCCACTGGACTGTAACTTGAGCTAACCCCGAGAAACATCACCGTCGGGAGAGAACTTGCCTCGTCAGCCGCCGGTATAAGGTCGAAACCTACCTACCGCCTGCAGACAGGAAACGGAATCCAACTTCCTTCCTCGGTCGAGGGCGAAGATTAATCTCGGCGCAGCCGTGTACCTGCATCCAGCTCGGCCACCCCCTCATCGCTGCCTCGTTTATATTTACGCATATTTATAAAAGGCATTTGTGGCGAAAGCGCGCGAACCGCACGGGAAGCAGCGGGAATATTTAGTCTGCGAATGCTATGATTCGCGCAGGTTCTCGTGAAACAGTTGTTTTCGATCCGTTCAGGATGAACGGATATTTCATTCAGCGACGGGGAAAAACAGTCTCGGATGGTACTTTATCCTCCCGCTAAAATTTCGCGGCCTATATCCACCGACCGCTTTTAGTAGCCTATCATTCCTATGCACGTCACTCGAGTCTGATGTCGACTCGCGAATTGATCCTTCCAGATCCTTGCGCCAGCGTGGAATGCGTGGAACCTGAGATCTGCCAACTGGACGGCTCGCGGCAACCGGCCTGTCGCTGCGGGGAACAATGTGGCTTGGAATTCGCGCCGGTCTGCAGCAGCGACGGCAAGACGTATTCGAACGAGTGCAGCCTCCGCCAGGAAGCCTGCCGATCGAGATTGCCGCTGAGGAAGGTCTACAACGGCGCGTGCAGCTCCGGTAATGCGAAAACCATTTCTAACGCGTTCGGCCGGTTCGAAATTTCAATTAAATATCACGCTTTGTCGCGAATCCCCCTTTCTTCCGTTCGTCGCAGGAACGAATCCTTGCGACGAGGCCAAGTGCAGCTCCTACGAGCAGTGCGTGATCAATCGTTATGGCATCGCCACCTGCGAATGCGGTCCCGAATGCGAGCCGGTGATGCGGCCGATATGCGCCCGCGGTGGTACCACTTACACGTCCATGTGCGAGCTGAAGAGACAGGCGTGTCTGGAGAAGAGTAACATCGAGGTCGCCTATGCAGGCACGTGCGGCTCTAGGGGACCCTGCTCGGAGAAGGTCAGTCGTCACCGCGCGGGGAACGCGCGGAACGCGTTCGTACGCTTCGTAGCATACTCTCGCGGTTACCGTTCGCTTCGCGATGCGGGCGAGATTACGGAGTTAGGTGGTCGGCCCCGAATTATTGCTCTTCAGGGAATGTTCCGTTCTTAGGAACGTTAACCACGTCTTGCGCGGCATGCTTCGTTAAATCGTGCGGATTGGCGACGAACTAGTGTGAATGCCGGGATATGTATCGGAAAGACAAGGAACGGCTATTACGCGTCACTTTCGGTAAATGCGCGCCCACCTCTATGCGTAGAGCGTTTATTTACAACGGTGGATAACGAAAAAAGAAGCAGAATCTGGAAAAAGACTTCCGTAGAGATCGGAATTTCGTTTGATTCGACAATAAACGAGTTATATATCATAAGACTGTCCTACATATATATATATATATATATATCTTCTAATCTTTCTTTATCTTTCGATTTCCATCTCTCCCTCTTTCTCTCTCTTTCATTGACATCGTCTACCGTTGTTTTCACAGGAAACCCTTGTTGCTATTCCAAGCGACGCGATTCAGTTAGATTTAAGTTAGGAATACTATCGGTCTGCAAAACAAGGTTTGTAATCGACATCAAGCGAGCTCGCGAAATGGAAATTGCTAGATGTATTCACCGCAGAAATTGGAAGGGATCAAGAGTCGAACGGCGCGGAATTTTTCTCTCTCTTTCTCTCTCTCTCTCTCTCTCTCTCTCTCGCTATTTCTTCTTCCCGATACTTTCTCGATTTCCTCGCGAAATTCGAAAGCTCGAGGTGAGATCCTCGCCGTTTCGACGAGTTCCTTCGCCGAAAGCAATTGTCGCTAATTGGATGACACCGAGCCGCGGTATCTCCGTGGGAAAGCCAGTGGTAGTGGATACCAGCGGGAAAAGGAACGGGAAAAGATCGTGCCCGATGAATTTTACAAAGCACTCGCGCAGTATCGAGCTGTCTTTCGCGCTCGCTTTCTCTCTCTCTCTCTCTCTCTCTCTCTCTCTCTCACCGGCGCCTCTCTCCTCGTGGATAGCCTGATGAACTTCGATATTTTCGATGTAGTCGAGAAAGTTTCCCCGCCAACTAATTAATTCCTTGTCTACATTTTTAATTCGATCGTCCTTCCCGCTCGGCGCGGAAAATCTACAGGAGGAAAAGTCCCCCCCCCCCTCCCCGCGATACAAGAGGAGAGAGATAAGCGCAATTATATCCTACGGCCTCCGATATTATTATTACAAGGCGACTTTATCGTGCTTTATTGAAGAGAGAAACGAGAGGAAGATCCCGTCACCCGAACGAAATTAAAATCTCCGACGGCGACGAGACAAGGAAGAGAAATGTGATGCGAGATAGTCCGTTCACCGTCAGTTGCATTACGCACCCAAAGCGACCGGCCGTTTAATAACAGTGCGTGTGCGCTTATTCGGTTCGCAGGTATGTCAATGGGGCGCAATCTGCGCGGAAAACGGCGGCAACGCGGTATGCGAGTGTCCGACTTGTCCGGCAGAATTTCAACCGGTCTGCGGCGATGACGGCATCAGCTATGGCAACGAGTGCAAGCTGCGCCTGGAGGCGTGTCAGCATCGACGGGAGATACGCGTTCTGTATCAAGGACTGTGCAGTGAGTACCGTGAGCGGAATTATCCCGTCGAGCCCCGTCCGTTTCGAGCATTTTTCGATAACGCGACCAGAGAGCTGAACGAACGAACGAATTTCGATCGCGCGACGCGGCTTGCCAAGAGGCTAAAACCGATAATATGAATCCTCCCTCTCTGCCTCTCTCTCTCTCTCTCTCTCTTTCCGCAAAACGATCGCCCACACAGAACCGCTTTGGCTTCTCTAAGTGTATTTAAATTTGTATTATCATTTTCTAATTGCACCCTCGCTCTGTCTCTCGCTTCTGCCTTTTGTGCCGCTATCTTTGTTCCGTCGTCTCGTCCCACCATCGCCGCGGAAAATATATTGCCGGCGAGTTAATCTCTTAAACAGCTCCCTCTGCCCCTTTCCGAGGTCCTTCGAAAGGTACTCCGATTAATCACATAAAATTCTGAATTCCCAATCCCAAACGAGCGGATCGCTCCGCATTGAGCATCCTTATCGGCGTCCTGCGATATTAAGCGCAGAAAATAATTTCCGACTCGCCGACGGGGCGTCGAAGGAGGACGGGAAGGAGAGGGAGCGTCAAGAGAACAAATCTGCGATTTTAATATGCCGGAGTGGTCGGACAGCGGCGGAGGGTTAATATACGGTCGCGTAACCGCCCCGGCGGTAACTTAAAACTTGCTACGACTAATTTGAATATCCGGCCGGAGTAAATTGAATTTATAACGGATTTCTGAACGATCTTAAGTAGCGCGGCGGCATGAAACTTGATTAACGTCGATGGCCTCGCGTGTTTCCCTCGGAATTAAACATCGATCGAACGGCCGGTCCGCACTTCTGTCACGTCGAAACGAAAACGATCGACGAAACGACCGCGAGAAGGAAAACGGAAAGAAGCGATCCATCGATCTATCAGAGAAAATAATCCTCTTAAGGTTTCATCGTCTCCATTCTGTTATTCTCGCATATAATGACAATTTTTCCGTTCTCTCACGGGGATACCGTGCGAGTGAGTGCTGTATACACTCGATAAAGTCATACACACCGGTCACGTCAGATACTTCCAGCGATACCGCGCCTCGGCTCGACGCTTCAGCGCGGAGAAAACGTTTCTTTTCTTCCAGTGTTCGCAATAGGAATTCCGGCGATATCGTAAACAACTTCATGAATACTGTACACGGCGATGCATCATCGCGGCTGCACGCGAGCCCACGCCATTAATCTTCATTTTATTATTTTCCACGATGCCTTTAATAACGACGACGGTGCCTTCCCGATCCTGGAAGGGCAGAGAGGGCGGTAGGGAAGAAGGGAAGGAAGGCGAAAGAGGCGAAGGAGGTTTCATCGACCGTGTACTTTACGACGTTGGCCCCTACCCTGCAATTTCATTCTTATTAATCCACCCTCTCCGCCCCTTGCCCTTTCCCCGTCTCTACTCACATCTCGATATTCCGGAACGAGGTACTATCGGAACCGCGGACTTGAAAAGGATGCGAATTCTTCGGCGATTTTCCCGTCCTGCGCGTCCTTTCATAAGTATACGATGAATATCGCGCTCTCGATCGCCTTTCCGTCTCTGTGTTTTCGTTCGGCAAATTTCCCGACGTATCGCGCGATCTCGCCGATACGAAAATAATAACAATGAGAACACCGAAGGGGGAGAGGGGGAAACTGCGTGTTTTCTCGGATTCGCGAAAGAACAGTGAAAGACGACTGACTATCTCTCTCTCTCTCCCTCGAAAGAGAGAAAGAGAAAGTACCTACCGAAGCAAAGTTTCGTAATTTCGTTTATTATTAAATAAATCTGTACTAAATAGCAAGAAAACGCGGGAAACTAAATCTCGTTTCTTCATAAACGGAAAGTTGAAGTCGCGAGTATGCGAGAATTTGAAAATAGCTTCGGTATCATTCGTGAGGTTACGACACATCCGACATAACCGCATCGTCTCCTCATTTTTCATTAAAACTGTAAGAGTAATTTAGTTGCTAGAATGAAAAACTTGATATCGGAAGACATTTTTTCTCGTACTTGTGATACATGTAAATAGTGTAAACTTTGATTTCAATTAACGCATTTTCGGTATGTTCAATCTTTTTCTAATTTTACATATAGATGTAAATCGTGCCTCGATTAATATGCTGTTGAAATTCGAAAGGATTCCTAAGAAAATAAATTACGGACCAACTGCCTTAAAAGCGTCGAAGTAGCATCAAAATTTCAACTCGGGTTTCGACATCGAGCCGAGATCTCACGAGGTCACGCGCGGTTATGCGATTATAAGAGGTGCGCATTAGTTGAACGATGAATATTACACTGATAAATATTACCACGGCACTTTTCGCTCTTCTCGAGTTTTTCTCGGAGCTGGCGGCCTTTTTTCTCCGTCTAACCAGAGACGGGAGTGTATCGCGGGAATTAAACGAGGGAGAAAATCCTTCATCCTGCTTCCATCCGACCCCGTCCACCCGTCAGCCTCATCTTTCCGCTCGTCTTTATGGAAATCACTCGCGAATGAGGTGCTTTTCAGCGCGAAACAAACGCACAAGTTGACGTTAGCCTGGAGAAACGATTGCAGAGCGACACCTGGCACTGTTCATTTCCAACGCAAATCTGCGTACTCGCGAAAGCATTGCTCGATGCTCGCACGTATTCCCTCCAATGACTCTCAAGTATAAGTAACCTACATCGAGTGGTCCGAAATCGCCGACGTGTAGTAGTTTAGCTCGTTATTAGTTCGTTACCGGTTGATTATTTATTAAAATGTAGAATCACTTTTGCAATTTAACCGTTGCCCGACCACTATGTATCAAGTATAATAGAATAGGTGGCACTCTAAAATATATAATCTAATTACTATATGTATTCGCTACTAGCATTTGATAATGTGGCAGCAATTCAAAATGGAAGATACATTATTTATACATTATTCATACATTAAAAATCTTAAAAAGGCAGAAATGAACATTACATTATTACCTGACAACTAGTTATGATTTTCCATCTGAACATTTCCAAATACAAACAATTCGAAGAGAAAAACACTAACGATACTCCTTGACATTTCAAGGCATTGGAAGTATCCTGTTGATATATCTCCCGTTGCTTTTTCATGTTATATTTTTTCTCCTTCGAGGCATAAACAAAACGAAAGATGATACGCTCAAACGAAGCGTGTTCGGGACACTTTTTTTCGTTCAGGTCGGGCGTCAGGTTTATATCGGTCGATCCGCGAACTTTTCCGATGTATCTCGTACTCGTGTCTTCTACGCCCGACGGCGGCGACGACGCAGAAATAAATCGTAACATTTCCGATTTGCATCTTTATTAAAAAGTTCCACTTGTCAACACGGCACGGACAAGCGAGCCCGCTATCAGAAGGAAGATTTATCAAGCGCGCCCGCTGGCATGGGAATACGTTTAAACAGCGATTCCATCAAACTACTTCCCACTCCCCCTCCTCCTTCGCCATCACTACCATCACCCTCCGCTGCCAGTCAACGTGCGACACTCTAAGGCACCGAATATAAAATCGCGTACTCACGAAAGTTAGTCTAAACACAAACAGTAATTTCCATCACAAAAATCTGATGAAACGCGATGCGGGACGATGAGGTTGGGTGATCCGCCGTGGAGTACCTACGAGACGCGTACCTATGCCGAGGTTTACCGAACTTTCCTCATAACACACTCGGGGAGCGCGCCCGGGAGAAAGATTGGATTGCTTTTAATATCGCGCGGCAACCGGTGAATTTGAAATCGCAGATTTGGATTTGGAGATCGAGAAACGCAGATTAGAAATCTAAGAAGCTTTAGTCTCACTCAATGTTAAAAACAGCCGGTCAGCAAAGCATTAAGATAACGGAACACTCCGTGCAATTACACCCTTATCGCGTAATATTCCGCCTTCACAGCCGGCATTTCGACACCCTCCTACAACGGTCTGTTCGAGACGTCACACCGCGCAATATTTCCCCGTAATAAGCTCGCGGTAATAATAGAATTACGGTTCCGCGACGCACGCGATCCGCTATCGCAGTCGCCTATAAATCGCGCGGCGCGCGATGATTTTCATTAAACCGCCCCACCTCTCTCCTGCGCACGGACAGACCTCTGTCCGGCCGAGAGCGGTGGAAATCGAGCGGAACGCGCGCCGGTTAGAATTCGGTTTCGTGCGCCTCGCGACGTCGCTCCGCGCTGAAATCATATGAGTTGTTACCCCGCGGCATGCACGCTGCATATGCATACGCTTCCTTGCGCTCGTCGCTATCCTCCCGAGCCCCTCTCCGTCCCCTGCCTTCAACCCTCCCTTTCTCTCGTTTGCTATCCATAGTCACGCTCCGCGTGACGATTCTCGTGGCACCCGTCGTTTTCGAGCCCGTCGGAAAACCCGGAGGGAAGCCACCGCATCCACGAGCATCATCGACGCGTCGACGACTGGCTGAATCTCGTATATACCCTTCCCCTCTCTCTCTCTCTCTCTCTCTCGGTCTCTTTTCCTCTAGTTCTTCGTCCCGGCGGCCCTCATACCTGCCGTGGATTTCAATGAATTCTAAAGATAACTTCTCGACTGGCAAGCCGCCGCCGTCGTCGCCATCGCTCTTTCCACTCTTTCCACCGGCCACCCTTCTGTTATTCGCGTTTCGGTAGCGCCCTTTGTCTCGACCGTTTCCTACCCCTCTCCCTGCAGCTACCTACTCACGGCCACTGGGAGAGAAAATTCCACTCGAAACGGACGCCGTTATGCAAATAGCTGCGCGGGAATCTTTATTAATGTTATCCTGAGGCGGTCAGAGGGCGGCTCTCGCTCGTCCGGGCGGCCGAGGGGGTGGCGAGCGCGTGATTAGTGAGCCGAGTGATGTCACGAAACGAAAGGAACGTGTCGGCGGAATCTGCGCGCCGGCATGTAGACCAGCAGACCGGAAGCTCAGGCGCGGGCTGCGTCACGCGAGATGCGCGATTTACGCTTTTAATCGCGTGTCAACGATCTGTTTGCAGACGGTTGCGAGAACAAGAAGTGCGAGTTCTACGGCGAGTGCGAGAGCGACAGCGCCGGGGAGGCCAAGTGCGTCTGCCCGTCCAAATGTGAGACCAACGTAAGTCTGTGGAAAAGTATTATTTGTGTTTCACTGGCGAATGGAAAATGCATGCAATTCTGACCGCTCATGACGAATGTGTCGCGCATACTTTAACGAAGTCACATTCGTTACTTTTTTTTTTTATCATCCGTGCGGATATTCTATTGTAATATTTAATTTCAACTTGTATAAATATTCGTTACGCCTGACAATTTTTACTTTTTATTTTGTGACATGTATCTTGTACTCTCGCGCATTTATGTGTGATCTCTCTTGATTATTCCGGATCTATCATAGCTACATCAAATATCAGAGGCAAAAGCATCTATAAAAATATTTTTTGCAATGACTGGTTATACTAGTTACTTTCCTTTATCATCCACGAATAATCGGTCGAAGTATTTAATTTTAACTTGAACAAATATTTATTACACGCGCTACCCTTTATTTTTTATTTTGATGCGCATTTTGTTTTTTCTTGTATTTACATGCCGCATCTGTCTCTTAATTATTTTGTATTTATCATATGACGTATTAAAAGCAAAAACACCAGTAAAAACATTATTTACATAATTGCATTGCTGAATACGCGATAGAAAATTTATGTTTTCACTGCTCGCGATAAATACGTCGCCCATAATTTAACGAAGTAACTGATTACTTTCTTTCATCATTCGCGAACATTTGATCGCGATATTTATTCGCGCGACTTGGATATATATTCGTTATACGTGTCAATTTTTGTTTATTCCGACATGTACTTTGTCTTCCCGCGTATTTATATGTTTCCTTGATTATTCCGGGTCCATCACAGCCGCGTCGCACGGCAAAGGCAAAAATGTCGGCGTTTCTATTTTTCTGTATTTCTATTTGCGCGACGTTTCGAGAAGATATCAACGTCAACGAACGTTACGAACGCGCTCGTTCCAGCTCTAATGAATAGCGCGACCATAAATATGTCAGGAGAACACGTGACGCGCATTATGGAATATTAAATGGAATGTTCAAGTTGTTTGGATTATTCAAAATTGTCATTTGCATTCGCGCCACTTCGATCATCTAAATTTTATAAATGTTTCGCCTGTCTTGTTTGCATTTCGCGAAAATATCACGCCGATGAACGAGCGCGGCCGCGCGCGCACTAGAGAAATGACTCCCCGAATCGAGGCTTGACAGTCGCGCGGTCGTGCGAAATTTCGAATTCAATAAATCGCGCGTACGTATCGCGCGCGTGCCTGCTTGTTTGAAAATAATTCTTTCGAACGGGTGTTCAGATTAATTCACGCCGTTCGGGAGCGGAGTCAGTGTCGAAGGAACCTGCTCGGCGAATTAAATATTCCCGCCGTGTATTTTATGCCGAAACAGATTCGCGCATTTAAATAGATACTTGTAAATGCTCTGCGCGTCACACAATGCAACGCATACACGCGCACACAGAAAAATACATACTGCGCACAAGTAAATGTTACTTGTTTGAAGTATTTTGCGAATTTATATGTCCGCGAATATATCATAAGTTTATCATAAGTATTAAATTTATCCAGAATATAGTCATCCTGGTAGGTTTAATATTTCAAGGAATATTAATTTTCCGTCAGCAATGTGTAATTGAGCACCTCGTATGTGCATTCTGCAGTGTGAGTCTTCGACCATGCAAATTTTTATACTGTTCTAGACTGTGTAAAAATCTGAGAAAAATTTTCCTATTCTTTTGAAAGCTTTAATAACAAGTTTTTACAATCGTAAATGTCGGATTGTATTTACTTGTCTTTTACAAATTGAAAGAAAAAGCACCGATAACACCGAGAGCACACACATCGTGCCTTCCAATCTCTCCCCGCCGTCTTTCGCGGATGCTCGCGGGGCCCGTTCGTTAGCGTAACCGCCGTGAAATATTCACACGATGATGAATGGTCCCCACGCGCGTGCGTACGTATCCTCGAGCAGTGATATTTTGTGTTTCCCCAAGATCGTTCGATGCTGAGCAGAGAGAGGAAGCCGCTTCGTTAGGAACGTGACGAGAAATGTAGCGATGGCGGGAGGGGGAGAACTTGGCGGTGCGCGAAAGGGGATGCTGACGCATTTGCATGCGCTGTTTTCAGGACTTTCCATCAACGCCGTTGAATTCTGTGCGCCTCTAGCTCGCTTTATTATATCCTTCTTCTGCGAATGAATGGCCTTTTCATGTTTCATTAGGCGGTCGACAATAGTCAATAGCTCCCGCCGCAAAATGTCGAAAATTCCGACGATGGAAATGCGACGCGTTCGCGTGCGAGAGCCGTTCTCGATGCGCGACGGTCGCGCGGCATGTTGCGCGCGTGGAAAGAAAGAGAAAGAGATGCCTGTACACTCACGCTCGCGCGTGGGAAAAAGTTTTAATTAACATTTTGTTCTCGCGCGCATCCGCACGGTTTCGTCGGCCGCGGTTCAATGCGCTTTATCTGTCGGTGTTCTCTCTCGCTCTCGCGCGCGCGCGCATACCACGAGTAAATGCACGGAGCATAAATAGCCGGCACATTCACAGCGACCCGGATCCTAAGCTAATTAGTCCTAAGTTAATTAGTTAAATCAACGAGTCACCGTGCGATTCGCCGCCGCGATGTATGTACGGACCGAGCTGATTGTTACGGTGTAAAAAAAATATAGGAACGAAACTAAATGGGAAAGGAAAGTCGCGAAACGCGCGGAGAAAGGTGAATATGTCTTCCGAGACGAATTTTTTATGCTATTTTGAAACTACCAAGAATAGTTTGCCCCTACATGGCTTATAGACGAATAAAGACCTGTTTTGACGACATTCATTAGCTTCACTCTCGAACCGTTAATTGTACATATAGAAAAAATTGTTAAAATCAAGTAGGGTGAAAATCTTAATTCGGACTAGGTTGTGCGAATCGCCGGCAGATCGGTGCGGCTGAAATCTCCTAGCCGGATCCTTATTCTCGCGTTACTCCCGCTAATAACTGTTTAATAGCAACGATTTTTGATACGCGCGCCGACATAAATCCAGCCGCGCACACCCGCGGGTGCTGCAACCTCCGCGGATTTATTTGCCTATTTCGGATCGATTTCCGATAAATAATTTTTCGTACCTGCTCGAGCGAGCGAACGTGCCCTGATATTACAGTCTCCCTTCCTTTATCTAACTCTCTCTCTCTCTCTCTCTACCTCTCTACCTCCCTTTCTCCTCTCTCTCTTTCGTTTTTTCCCGGTCGGTCGCGGTGGATCGCGGCGCCCAGAATGCAATGCATGTTCCGTTCATCAAGATAGCGTTCCGCAGAAAATTTAACCGATCACGCCGGAGATAGGGCGGACAGATAGCAGTTTGGATTTCACGGATTCGCGGAACGTCCTGCTGACGGCGAACGGCGAACAATTCCGAATTTCCTCAGCGCGTTCTACCCCTTCGTGGTCGTCCGTGACGGTGCGGCGGCGGCGAAGCGACAGGAATAAGGGATGCGCCCGGAGAGACAGGGGTTGAGAAAAGGATTAGGTTGGCAGGTTTCGCGCTGTAGGAACGGAAGAACGAAGTCTCCGTGCCGACTCTATTTTTCCGGAATGATGAGAGAGAGAAAAGGAAAATCCGAGTCACTCGGTCACGGACGCTTATCGGCCGGTGCGACCGAGCCGACGACGAAAACCGCGCGGCGGATCTCCCGCTCGTCCGTTCCTCGAAAACGGTGCACCGTGTGGGAATTCCGGAACGTGTTTCCGCCGGATAACGCGGGATCAATTACGTGGGACGAACGGGAGAGAGCTGCTGAAATTATTCGAACTGACCCCGATCGCAGCCTCTCTGACGGATTACTCGATGTTCATCGAAAAATTACGAACGAAGCACCATTCCAAATGAGATAATTAATTTTTCGCGTTACTCGGGCGCGCCTGCTCACTCGTTCGCTCGCGATGTGCGTAAAATCTGGACTGAATTTGGACCGAAGCAAAAATTCGACTAAGTCGATACCTTCGCGGTGTTATCCTCGTAATGCGCGCGCGCGTTACAGTAAAAATCATCCCGACTCTCTCCAGAGTCGCTTTGGCGCCTGAAATCGCATCTCCTCTCCGAGTCGGAATGAACTCTTCAACCGCTCTGTCTCCGTTAGATTTGAAAGAAACGCGCGTTAACTTTTGCGTCATAGATTTAAACCGGTGTTTTTATTCTTAATTCAGGACGGAACGTCGCGCTCGCCCGCGCGCAGAACGCGGGGAAATGCGTTCGCATACAATAATCCTCTTAATGAAACACGAACCACGGGTTCGCGCTCGTGCACACGGATTAACCTCGGAAAATGAGCTGACTGACGTCAATTAAACTTAACGTGGGAGAGCGACTAAATCGTGCGGACTCTCGCGGAAACTTCCGGCGCCCGCATGCCGGATGCGGCTATGCTGCGTCTCGCAGCAACGGCCGTAATAATAATATCGTTCTCCTCCTTCTCCTTCCCCTCCTTCCTACACCTGCTCTTCAAAACGGTCGAAGATACCGGTAGCCTCGAATTCCAATTAGAAACGAAACGACGTCAACAACGAGGATTTTCTTTACGCAAACATGCGCGCGCACGTGTCTATTTGCATAACCGTTTGCATTGTTATGCCGGACGCATCGGCGGAAGAGACGAAAGTTGGTACAAATTATAAATTATACCGGTAACCGCTACCGTCGAATAATTCATCGCTGATTAATTGTACATTTTAAACACGTAATAATCGCAGGCTCGTTGTCGGCTAATTCGATAGTCGATCGCCGATTATATTCTGCGTTTTGTAATTAATTTGGATTGCTCGCGCCGATCAGTCGGCGCGCTGTGTTCTGGGCAGGAAGAGAAAATAAAAAGATAAGAAGATTAAGACTTTTTCGTATATATTTTAAACACGTAGAAGAAGAGCACCTACGTACCATTTTGTTTGTAGGCTCTAAGGCTCTATAATGAAGGTGCAAAATTAAAATTGATGTGTATGGACACAAACCAGAAATACGTTTCTACCGAAATATATGATAATCGGGCGAAAGTTATTATATATTTCCTCGCAGATAACTACCCTTAACTATACTTTTTTAAGATGTTTGAGGATTGACAGATTTAGAAATTAGATACGATTACCAATTTACGTTATCTGCTAACTCGATCAATCGCCGATTATATTATATTTTGTGCTTTGCAATTAACTAATGTCAATCGGCGATCAATCAATGTGCTGTGCTTTTGGTAAAAAAAGAAAATAAAGAAATTTACTATCAGAATTGTCAGAGGACACTGTTGTTGAGCGGTTCTCTCTTTCTCTCTTTCATGCCGGTAAGCGCGCAACTGCGCAACGTAACCATGGCGGTCGGCGAAGGGTGGCAAGTGCATGAAACATGCGTGTAATAAGCAAACAAGAGCAGCCGCGAATATGACGGTCGGACTAATTAAGTTCTGCTCTTTCCTGTGTTATTGCACCCATGCTCTCATCCTGCCCCGCCCCGCCTGACCCCGTATCACTGTCCGTCAAAATACACCGTGCGTTTCCTGGCACACTCGTAATGCGCAACAAGTGAGACACACAGGGTCCGTGTCTCTCTCCTTCTCCCCTCCTCTCTCTCTTACTCTTTATTCTCCACTTTTAACTTTTACTTTTCGCACCCCCACGGGTGCAGCCGTGAGCGAAGGCGCGGTCCCGTGCTTTCTCGTGGAAAAGTCTTCGTTACATGCGAGAAGGCGCATAGGAGATGGTCGTAAATCGCAAATAAGGAAAATGACCTGTGTCATTTAAGAAATTGCCTTTGAATTCCTGTGTCGTTCACTGTATCGCGACTGACAATGGGAATTGACATTAGGCGAACGCGCGAGAAACGAAGGACACATTAACGACACGAACGTTAACATCAGGACTGTTAGATAAATTTGCAATTCTGCTCGCACAGGTGAAAGAAACCGCCGGGATAAAGGAACCAACCGAGAAGGTTTGCGGATCCGATGGGGTGACCTACGATAACGAGTGCGCCTTGAAAAAAGCGTCGTGCACAAGCCAGACTCTCATCACCATTAGCTACGTGGGTGACTGCGGTAAGCAACGTATGCTTCATGCGCCTTATAAGCGCGAACTAATGCGATGAGATCAGCTAGCTGGATATCGCACCAGCAAAAGTAAAATTAGAAATCACTCAGAATTTTAGAAATCATTTTGTTTTTCTCAAATTTGGAAATTACTGAGTAGTTCGGGAAAAGTCGCTCGTTGGCATTTTGAAGTTTCGACGAATTCAACGATTTACGTTGAGAAATGCCACGCGAGCCGCTTAAGTAGCGGAGACCGAATATTTTCCAGAGCTGTGCGCAAGGGTGGAGTGCGAACACGGGGCGCACTGCGTGGCGGGTGTGTGCGTGTGCCCAAAGGTTTGTCCGGAGAGCAGCGGGGAGCTCGTTTGCGGTAGCGACGCGAAAACTTACCAGTCCGAGTGCGAGCTGCAGCGCGCGGCCTGCGGTAGGGACCCCAAGTTGCCGGCGTTGCACGTCACGTTTTACGGGGACTGCGGCGACAGATTCGCCGTGGCGGCACTGAGTATGTTTCCGAAATCACATCTAAGCTACCGACCTCGGCGCGCATCCCGCATGACATTTTCGTTTCGCGAGGAATGCTCCGTGGTTAACGGACGCTCGACCGCCACCGCGCGACGGTAAAACACGCGAAACGGACTGTCAACCGCGAAAATGATCTCCCCGATAGTAACCATGGCGGTTCTGCAATATTAAGGCGATTCTACAATGATACATACGCGTAACAATATGGCGGTAAGTCCGCAGCATTTGACCGAAGGTCGTAGTATTTGACATTCTTAACCCGTAAGTGAGCACCTGATATCTTGTGACGTGAATATTTGCATTTACTATATCGTAAACGAGCTCCTATAACCGTATTTTATGGACTTGCGGCTATATTCTTAAGACCATTGTAGAATGGCTTTTAGGTCTGTCACACAATAAAGTTGCACGTCGGAGTCGGAAAAAATCGAATGTCGGAACGAAGTTGATTGTCCAAGAGATTGTTCAACAATTACGTCACACCACGAAGGAAGAGGGGTCTATTAACTCGCGTGACAGTCTGTGATGGCACAGAGGAAAGGAGCAAAGGTCATGGAACGTCACATTAGGGGACCGGCATTCATAGTCGGATCTTATATTTAAGACCGCCTTAAGTTCATCTTCGGATGTTTCGCAGCCAATGAAATGAGCCGTACAGTATCTAAAGATGAACTTAAGACGGCCTTAAATATAAGATCCGATTATGAATATCAGCCTAGATGGCAAAGGGGCCCTCTTAAACAAGTATCCAAATTTGGCGCGATTTCATTGTTGAGTAGCTCACAATGAGAGAAGTTATTTTTCGAAAATAAATGTTCTCATCGGCTGCGTTCCGACATCTGACAGCGACATATTGTATAGCAGGCCACACACGCGACAGGGTGCGAGAGATCAACGGCGAAAGCTGTCTCTTTCTCCCTGTTCGACGCAACATCTGACGCAGCGCAAAACTCCTTTGAGCAACGCTCGGGACGTGAGTCGTGCTCGCGAATTTCCAGACGCCGCTCAGACGTCTCAGGCACGCTCTGGGTACAGCTGCAATCTTCGGAAGTTGATGGTCCCGCGGTAAGACGACGGTGGCAGTGACGCGTAATCGAAAATAGTTGGCGCGAATCTCGGCGACGTCAGTGGCGGTCGGCAGCTTGTTAGAGTCCTCCGATCCCTTAACGCTAATTCGCGCATTAACCGCACCTCATTAACGGCCTGGCAGTTTGACGCCTGTAACGACGCGCGCTCTAACCGCCCCCTAACACCGCTTCTAACACACGCAGCGACCAAGTCGACGCCCGCGGTGACTCGCGTGGCCACTACCGTGGCCGAGGTGACCAGCACGCAGGAGCGCGAGGCCTGCAAGGACATTCACTGTGACTTCGAGGCGACCTGCGAGCTTGGCCCGGACAAGTTCCCTAGGTGCAGCTGCAGGTTCGACTGCGCCTCCATCTCGCCGGAGAACATGCGACCGGTCTGCGGCAGTGACCTCAGGATCTATTCCTCCCTCTGCGCCATGAAGATGGAGGCCTGCCAGCGGCAACAGGAACTGCGACTCAGGCCTCTCGAGCTCTGTCAAGGTTGGAAAACGTCGTCGCTTCACCGGGACAACCTGATCGATCGACGCGTGAGATTGGCCGACGGGACTCGCTCTCCGGACTTGTTCGCTCCCATGACCTTGCTTGCGATGCTTTTCTTAGTCTTACGGCTTTTCGTTGCGTTACTAACTCAGGAAGTTGGATGCTAACACTGTACACGGAGGAAATTTTGTGGTAAAAATTATCGGAGAATATTGCAGACGAGGATTTGCGCGCGAGGGTGAAACGAGATCGCGTGTAGTCGTAATCGCGCATTGACTGTTTTATCGCGATACGAGCAATGACTGCAAGCGTCTTCTTTACACCATGACATCTGTGCAGGCATGGAAGTGAAGCCTTGCAACGGTGACCCTCCGATAGCAGATGCCGATGGCAAAGAATACGACTGCGGTAGCGGACCAGAACGTAAAGACTGCCCTAGCAATAGTTACTGCCATCAGACGACGCGATTTGCTCGTTGCTGTAAAAAAGGTTAGCGAGAGCTGACGCTTCGGTCTCATAATATCACGTTGATTAACGTTGACACACGCGCATGAAAACGGTTAAGGGGATGCCGAAGCTGATAAACGTCGATTACGTGAAGACAATCCTAAAAAAGTTACATAAACACTGACACGATCTCAGTACTCTTTTTATATTTCTCGTGGTAGAGACCCAGGCGTTTTTTAAAGGTAATGAGTGTCTATGTTTAATGGTATCTATATTTAATTGGAAAAGTATAAAAATGTTGTTTGAAATTTCGCCAATTGAAGCATTGACACATTCGATATGTACAAGCTGCAGGATTTCAGTATCGGATAAATATTTACGTTAACTGACAGCTGGAGATGTCAATTTTGAAACGTTTAATCGTTTTCCTCACTTATTGAGCAATATTCCGATTTATTCTCACGCGTATTTTCACTATGCAAAAGCGTTTGCAATTCTCTACGGCTGCTACGACGTGAACTTTGCGGAAAGAAGTTAGAACTTTGCTAGCAAAGTTTTTGAATATAGCATCCCCTTAACACGCGAGACGTATTTCCCGCGGAGTATTAATTTTGATTCTTCTCCACGAGAGGGATCAAGCATCTTTCTTGAGATATCAGCCGCTTCGACTCCGAGGAGAGATCGCGCGCTCGAGTATTAACGTATTTCCGCATTACGTCGCGTCACGCTGACAGTGACCGTCTGCCGGTTTTCCAGTCCAAGGGATCCAGGTGGTAAAGTGCGCGGATTCGTGGCACGGCTGCTGCCCGGACGGGAAGACCGCCGCTCTTGGCCCGGACAACGCCGGCTGTCCGAGCTTGTGCAACTGCAATAGACTTGGCAGCGTGTCCGACACCTGCAACCCGGAAACCGGTCAATGCGAATGTAGGCCAGGTGTGGGTGGTCTCAAGTGCGATAGATGTATGCCGGGTTACTGGGGACTGCCGAAGATTAGCGAGGGTCATCAGGGATGCATACGTAAGATTAGAATTAGAATTAGGAGCCTGCGACCCTATTCAGAGACTCAGAACATGACCCAATGAGGATACATATTATAGGATAAACATTTTATAATAGCTCTTTCGGTCATGTATAAAATATATCTTACGTATTTATTTTATATCACATTTGTATTCTTAATATTTACAACAATTTTGTTTATCCATTAAGCATTACTTTCGCGCGAAAACCAACGTGTGAGTCTTGTTAGCCTGTTTTTACATTAATGTTTTGATCTCAGAGCCTTATATTTATTTACAATATATTTCGATAAAAGATCCAGGAAGGGATTATCCTGCGATACTATTATTCTAGTATATCTTTGTTATTACGTGATTGATTCTGATATATCGAAAGAATCGTTTACTTTCCACAAATATACGAAGATATTGCAACGATGATAACGTTTGATAGCATGAACGATCGTAACTTTATTCTCGTTACACGAGGAGCTGATATAAATTTACTACGAAACTAATATAAAATCGATGTAAAGCTCCTTTTTCTCTCTTTCTCTGACCCATAGCATGCGGCTGCTCGCTATTTGGCTCTGTCAGAGAGGACTGCGAGCAGATGACGGGACGTTGCGTCTGCAAGCCCGACATTCAAGGGCAAAAATGCACGATCTGCAACGACCACAACAAAATACTCACGCCTACCGGATGTTACTCAGGTATCACGCGTAAGAATAACCAACCGTGAATTCAGCGCAGCTAGCTAAACGCAAGAAAAACGGAAAAATAATTATATTTGCTGCATTTAATTACATATAACTGCAAGGACACGCGTGATTCGATCGCAACGCGACGGCTCGCGCAATATCCCTTGCGTGCCCGGTTAGAAACGTGGCCCGCCGGAATTTTCGACTTTTATATTCCTATTTCACATTCGTTAAAGTACGTCCTTAATTTAGCAAGCTCTTAAGGGGTTGTTAACGCGCTGTTCGAGTGGGCGCTGACACCTTGTGTGGTGTGTCGCTTTCTCTTCAACAATGCCGTCGACGACAATGACCACGATAGGACGTGATTTTATTAACGCGACGCTAACCCGTTTTGCTCGCAGCCGATACGATACCGCCCATTCCGACGTCCTGCAACGAGCTGGAATGCTACTCGGGCGGCCACTGCTCGGAGATCGGCAACGCGCACTGCATCTGCCCGTCCTCCTGCCCCGCGGACATACCGGCCGTGCCGGTCTGCGGCAGCGACGGGCAGACCTACGACAACGAATGCGAGCTACGGCTGTACGCGTGTCGCCACCAGGCCGACGTGGTCACGCAGGCCTTCGGCCACTGCAGAGGTGGGTTCACTGAACGTACGCCGAACAGGTCGCTTTTCGTCCTGCGCTACTGAGAATCTTACGTACACCCTCTTTACGTATGTGTATATATATATACATATATATATGTATACATATACACATATACGCGCCCCTTCTTGTGTGTATTGGAATCTACGCCAAGTTAATTAATCCACGCGCAGCGACTCGCGCCGCGGCGAGTTTCGTAGACGCACGCACGCGACACGCACGTGTCGGCTGTAAACGAATCCTCGAGTAGACGCTGTTGTAACGAACTCCAGATCTACCTTAGAAGCGCAACGGCCACGACGCCGGGGCCAGCTCTGTAGCTAGATAGGTGATAATCGATGTTCGATACTCATAGTTCCAAAGAGTACGCCTTATTGTAGAAAGAAGAACGATGTTAACGGAGGAGATCGCGTCGGCACGACGAAGGTAACGCGTGGGGAGGAATCTATCTCGGTTCGATTCACGAAAGATCGTAGGCTGAACGATGTTAATGAAGTCAAAACCTTCCTTTCTTTTCCTTTCTCTACTTTTTTCTTCCCTTTTCTTCCATTTTCCTCTACTTTCTTCATTTTCTCCATTTTTTTCCAATTATTTTTCATTTTTCTTCTTTTTCTCCTTTTTTGTCCCTTCTCTTCCCTTTTCTTCTATTTTCTTCCTTTTTCTCCCTTTTCTTCTCTTTTCTTTTACCTACTCTTTATTTTTCTTTCTTCTCCCATCTTTTCCTTTCTTCATCCCTCTCTTTATCTCATACACCGAAGATATTCCGAACCTGTGACGCAATCAGCTTCATCTGTTGAGACTGAAACGCTACACAGGGAAAAGCCGTGCGATTTCCACGGGAAGGAAGAACTGGAAAGTAACGTGACTACAAGTGGGGTAATAGTACAAGGAAGTAATCAGCATCTCGAAATGCGAGATCCTTCGAAAGCGGCTCGCGCATGAAGGATAATGGCCATCGGGTAGAGCAGGAAGACCGCGCGTGCTCTGTGACACATCGGTACATAGTTTAGGCTCACGTTCGAGATAGAACGTTGTTGTAGTTAATTAGCCTAGGAATCGAGGGCAAAGTTAGGCGAGGCGATAAGTAGTGTGTCGATGAGTTGTCTCTGTCTTTTCTCGCGGAGCAGCCTAATTATGAGGAAAAACGTGCAACCAGCCTGTCCTATAGATGAAACTAACCAACCAGTAGCCTACTTTGTATCCAAACGTGATAATAAAAAGCTCATCAAGTTTCTACTGACATGTATATATATATATGTTTGTAACCCCGCACCTGCAACAGAACCCGGATCATACATACGTACACACACGCGCGCGCACACAGCTACACTTTGCTTGCTTTCTTAACGGAGAACGCGCATTGTCGTCGTTCATCGTGAATAACATTCTGTGATTAATCACAAATGAGTTCGGCGAGAATTCCCAACCCGCGGAATGTCTTGGAACCTCCGCGGAGGAAGAAAGGAAGCAAAGTGAATGAATGACACCTGCGTAGAAGTTGATGGAGGACGTCTCTCGTGTGTGAGGTATGATGGAGACATCGTTATTGAAATTATCGCGACTGCGGAGACCGTTATCACTTGTCACTCGTCGTTCATCATTTTTCGGCCTCCTTTTATTTGCAAAGCTCTAAAAAATATTCCAAAATCGCGAAACGGAGAGAACGACGTTAAACGTATACGAAGCGCGGTTGCCTCTCCCATGAAAGCTATTTGAAGGCGAAATGGTGTCTAAACGTATTTACGTACTCGATTCGCTCTTCTCTCTCTGGGTCTCTTTCACTCTCTCAAGATTTCGTCGCTGGTACTAGCCTTTCACCCTGCGGCGTGCGTTCGATGATTTACCGGCGCGTTTTATTTCCCGCGCAGGAGAAGAAATACGGCGTTGCGGTGAGAGAGAAGAAAACACGTTGCCGCATGCGGCTTTCTGGATTCGGTTTACGCCACGGGCTCGTGTTAACGCGAGTTCCCGGGGGAGGAGAAGAAGGAAGACGGGGGTGGATAAGAGAACGAGGACGAAGGGAGTGAAATAGCGTCTCTCTCTCTCGCGCGCACGTGCGCGAAGAAAGTTGGCTTGAACGTTAACTCGCGAAACTGAGCTGGCCGCGAAGACGGTTTTAACTGAATCACCGCGGACTTCCAACGGTGATCTCATCTTAAGTAGCGCTCGTGGAACGTGTCTGGGAGAACCGACATCCAGAAGCCGGCTAGAAGAGGAGGAGGGGAAGGAGGAGTCGGTCAAGCCGCCTTGGCACGTTAAACCCGAATGTGACGTGCCGTCGCGTAATTCTGTTGTACGTCACGGAAATATACGAAGGAGCGACAGGAAGTTTCGGGATGATCGGTCGTGACAGTTTTACCGCGCGAGCGAAATTCCTCGACGCGTGCGGCGGCGTGATTCCGCGCCGCCGCGGAAAGGATCGAGACACACGACTGCTCGTTGGGAGGTACCGTCGTATACGAGAATCTATCGCGTCCGGTTATCGGAGAACACGTCGTCGGTGACCGTGCGACACGATGTTGTCGCTCAAGATTGCCGCGCCCCGGGCAAGGTCGTCGTTACATCGCAAATCTAACTGTGTGTCGTTGTTTTTCGCTTAAGCGTGTGATTTAGTTGAAGCTTTTCTTACGCGTTTTATGCCGTTTAAATTACACTTCAAGGCATACTGAAAGAAATGTCGAAAAAATAAGAAATATTTATTCGGTGAGTACTAGTAACATATTTACTTAAATCTAAATTCTTTTATTTAAATATGGAATAAACAATTGTCACAATCTTTGCTCAAAACTACAAATTTAACTCTGAGAGTAACATCCGTGATCTTGATGGTGAAATATCATCATACGTCTCTTAGACTTATATCACGAAGAAAATGATAAAAATCATGGTTTTTTTGTTTTCCCTCGAGTCCTTTATGAATTATTAAATTTCTTACAATTTTTATTTGTTATCTTTGTAGGAATGGGGTGTAGCATCTTGCGCAAAATGTGGAAGAGGTTGTAAACAAGAGAAAACGCGTGTGGGCCTTGTAAATCTGACATGTTACTATTAAAATTAAGAAGATCTAAATCATTTTATTTGACAAGTTTTCCCTCTGAGCACGAAAATGTATTTATATGTACATATAAAGTAAATATGCTGTTAATACCCACAGAGTAAATATTTTTTTATTCTTCTTTCTTTCTTTTATTTATTATATAGGTGTTTTTTCTGCCCAGTGCGCGTGTTAATTTTGCGCACTTAGACTTGCTCTCGAGAAATCGCGATCACTACGGCTGGACAACAAAGTCAAACTTTTCCTTCCGTCTTCTGTTCTCTTTCTTTCTTTTTCTTTCTAACGCGTTTAAACGTGTTAAATAACAAACGTCGTCACATTCTGCGACTTCCCGAGCTCTTGCACGTCGTCGTCATGACACGATGAGGGCGATGACGCTGGTCCCTCGGCCGGAAGCGCACCGACAACGGCCGCAACTGGCGTATACATTTTCTCTCTCGTTAACGTGAATCTCCCTCTTAATTCAAATAACTCTCCAGTACCGCTCCATCGCGATCTAATTTCGCGAGCCGTTGATTATCCCGACGTGAAATTCGGCTCGACTCAATCAAACCGGCGAATCTAGCGCGATGCGGTACGATAAACCGCTGCAAAAAGAAGGCCGGAAAGAGAGACCCACCCTCCGCGCTCACCTTCCCTTCCCTTTCCGTCCCACGACCCTCTTTCTCCCTCTCTCGCTTCTCATTCCCTCGTACTCCTCAAGATATTCCGAACCTCTGACGAAGTTCGTGGAGCGAAACGTCGGAATCTATTAAAGTCTCCAGCTCACCCTGCGAACCCCTTATTTTCGATTGCTCAGCCCTACCGTTCTACCTCCTCATCCACCTCCTCTTCCTCCCCCACTTTCAACCGGTCCCACGTCTGGTTCTCTCACTGGAAGTCAATCTCTTAAAAAGTTCTTCTTCGGGGCTCATCCTCCGGAGTCAAACATAAATCAGATTACGCCGTCCTCGCGGACTCCCCCTGCTTTGCCCCCTCTAGCCCTGTCTCGCCGTTTCTCCTCCTCCTCCTACTCTTCCTTCTTCCTCGACTCTAGCAGTTCCATCGAGTGCACGCCGACTTCGCTAGGAGATCACGGAAATCTCCTCTCCCTCTCTCTCTTTTTCGATGTCCTCTTTTTATTCCACTCGCCCAACGTCGACACACGGTATCGATGTGAAGGACGAGGTAACGACGTCGGCGACAACGACGATGGAGGCGGGAGGCGAAGGGAGTACAGGACGATATAGGCGCCGGCACTTTGGATCCTGTAAATAATGCATGCCGTAATTTCTCGCGACGGTCGCCGACTTCCTGCGAGGCCTCTCGTGCCGGGATATCTCCGGAGGATGTGGACAGGCGGCGGGCGATTGGTCGCCGGCGATGGCTCGGATGTCCTGCGAGCGTGTGACGCCTTTGACGCAAGCGCGTGAGGTATAATGATTGGATTACCGGGCGAGAGGTGATATATGTATATATGTACGTTATACACCGGGTGGCGAAAGGTCGTCGCGTCGCATCGGGACCACGCCGAAAGGACGAGGGCCAGGAGCTGATCATCGGACACGATCGACGCTTACTTTTTCATGCAATCAAGCGGCGAAAACGCGCCCGAGACGCCGTCGAAAGAAGAGACGCGTCCCCGAATAAATTCCTAGCGACGAGAAATAAATCAATATGCTTGCATAACGTAAAACATAATGTGGCTGAACGTTATACGATTATTGATACACACTTAATGGTAATGAATTTAATTCCTTTTAACTTTTAGGTTTTATATGCTAAAATGCTGTTAATTATGCACAAAAAATGTTGAAGTAAATGCACAATTCTCCAAATTCAGGACATAAAGGATTAGTCGTGTCGAAAGTTTTGCCTCGATCGACGTGAGAATTGGAATATAGTTTGCGTTTCACTGAGAGAGAGAGACTCAAGTCCGGAAAATGCAGACCATCGA